TTCTCTCTGTCTCAAATAAATAAATAAAATCTTTAAAAAATAAAAAAATAAAAAAAAAAAAGTAAGGATTCCTCTTAACATAACCACAATACTAAAATTTTTTTGTCCTTATAGTTACAAATTAAATGACATGCAAATGAAATGATGTGTAGGACTGCCTTAAAATTAATCGTGGGGATGGGGAGAATGAGAACATTAACTGAAACAATAGTTGCTGGGGATTGGTAATTGTTGATGGGTTCATGGAGGTTATTCTACTACTATATTCTCAAATTTGCACATATTTATTTTTTTATAACACATATCATGTCATTGCCCTTTCTAAATCCTTCAATGGTTCCCGAGTACAGTTATTAGGTAAAAATCCCATATTTGCTGCCAGCCTGCCAAGCCCTACATGACCTAGTGATTATCTATCCCTCTCAGATTTCATCTTCTACCACTTCACTCTTTCCACAGGCCCTCTTGCTTTTTCTCAACATGCCAAGCTAAGTCCCACCTCTGGGGGTGCACTTCATCTTCCCTCAGACCTGTGCAGGGCTGGTTTCCTCACTTCATTTAGGTATCCACGAATTCACCCTGCCTCAGAGAAGGTTTCTCTAATCAGGCTAAGTATATCCCCTCACCAGCCAACCTACATCCTTACTTTGTTTTGTTTTCCTCCATAGCATTAACACTACCTGAATTTTTTTCTATTATAAAACTGTCTTCTTTATCGCCAGGGTCACCCTCTAGAGTGGAAGCTCCATGTGGGAAACAACTCTGTACTACCCTGTTCATGACTCAGGACAATCCCAGTACCTAATAAATGACACTAAATAAGAATCCTCCTTCAAGGGTTCATGAGAACTTTGCAAAAGGGTACGTTATCTGAGAGCTGAGTGTCACGGCAGCAAAAGCAAAACCAAACCAAACCAAAAATACCAGCTGCTTCTTAAATTTCTGTCAAATGCTAAGGCCAGAAACTTGAAAAGGACTTAAGTATAAATACACATATGTGAGCTTATGTCCACACATTTAAAAAAAACCAACCCAACAACTTGGAATATTTGATGGAAAATTGTATGAGCACATATTAGTAAGGTAAGAGTTAATAGACTTCAGTTAACACTTTAGAAATGTTGAAATTAATAAAGACTGAAATCTAAAAATACCTGCTGATTCTTTGAAAACATTATCAATGGAGTTATTAAAAAAATGCTTAAATGTAAATTTTGTTTAAGGAAGCTAAAGATAGTATTCTATACCAGGAAGAATTTAACTGGATTTGTAATTATGCAAAAGTTATTCTTGTTACTGAGTCACTGTTTTGTCTACCATATATGACAAGATCTCTGGATTATAATATGTTAATTTGATTAAATGAGTCTAGCGACTGGTAATTCTGCTAAGAAATCTTTTCTCTCCGGCTCACTCTACAATTGACTGTCTTACATACGGATTGAATATTATGCCACAAAAAATTCAAAGATTCAAATCTATGCAAATCATGCAATCAGATGCTACAATATAATCAATGTAATCATCTGAGATTCTTTACTATGCTAGAGTTAAACAAAGATTTAATCTTGCCGAAACTCTGGATGATTTTCTAATGACTCCAATCCAGTAATCAAAAATAAAAGTACAGAAGAACCTAGAGTTGCTGGGTTTAAAGGCAAGAATGTGCAAAAGCCCTATTTTTTAAAACAGGTTAAAGTTCATGAAAACCTCCTTATATGAAAGCCTCTTTACAGCTATAGATAAACAGTAAAAACAGCACTCGCCTAATTATTAAAGGTTTTTGCGGGGGGGGGGGGATTTAAGAGTATTCACTTACTAGCTCCGCTTCCAATTGTTCTATGGAAAAGTTGCGACATCCGAGGACCAAGCGGGCCAAACAGATGAGGAGGAAGACCCCTGGCCTCTAACAAAGCTGAAGAAAAAAGAAAGGCATGAGGAATAGCTGAACTGTAAATGCAGTTGATCTTATGTAAAAATTTCAAGTACTGATTCATCTACAATTTAGACAATGTTACTTTCCATTTTTATCTTTAGAAGAAACTAAACTTTCAAGACCACTCCTAAGATATTAATTAATATAAGTTACAACACCCATGTGCTAGTTTCAAGGCATCTTAGGTTCTATGGTGATGCTAAATATCAGTGCCAGAGGGGACTGTATGAAATGATCCAAGAATAACCCAGAGTAAGTATTTACTTTGAAGAAATTATAGGTTAAGCACCCTTGTGTTGCTTTCTCTCTGATATTGGTCATGAGATCTTCTAAAAAACATATGGAAAAATTATTTTTATCAGGTCCAATAGGTGAAAAAAAATGTGTTCATGAGACTTCTAGTGGAAAAGAGACTGCTGTAAATTACTTTAGGAACTTAAAAGCAATCTGAAAGTGCTTTATAAATAATGTTTCTCGTAAGCCTCACACTGCGGATCTATCATGTAAACCAACTGTCTGAAGACAACAAAAATACATACCCACCCATTTGTAAAGAGCATATACATAATACAAGGCTGCTTTTTTAAAAGCACAACATTAAAATATCTGGTGTTTAGGTATACACTTTACATTCATTTTAAAATAGGTGACCAAGAACACAGCAAAAGCACCCCGCTGGGATGCATTACGTTTGCAGGTACCAGAGAACATCATATTAAGCTATCCCCTTTTCAAGATCTTCCTTAATTCATTTCCAGATATACAAGCAACCATAATAGAGAACATTTTAAAAACAAAGAATACATGCATAACATTTTGTCTAAACAGTAAAAATAGAGAGCCAGACAGATCATCTTCCAAATCCAAATCATCACAAATAAGAAGTTTTTATGAGTACAGGCATTGCTAGAGTATGTTTAAATGAGCTTATCCGAATTAATTTCAACAAAGAACGGAAGTCACAGGCAGCCTCTGATAATGGTTTCTGGTTTCTTGTAAGCTCCTTAACTGTCTTTACCTTGTAATCGTCCCATCTCGGAATCATCGGATTCACTTTCCCCAGAGGTGGTCATGCCCACAGCCCCTGCAACAGAACTAGAGGCTTCAAAAGGGGAGGGGAGGGGGGAGAAAAGAAGGTGAGGGTTAGGAGAGGAACATTCAAACTCATTATGTCTGGTTTATCTTGAAAAAAAAGAGCAGAGTTTTACAGACTACCGTGAATAAAGGCAATTAAATGTGTCTGCTCGTTGCACACTCAGCTGTTCTAGATTTCATCCTGTAGCTTCTATGAACAACAGGATGGTTCAACTATCTCAGTGTTCAACAAGCATAAAAATAACAACCTTTACATTTCTTCCATACATGGCTTTGACAGATTCCTCATGCCTCTGAAACTGTTCCTAAATTAAGTCTTGTCCTGAAGTCATCTACCAAAAGTCCATGAAGATCACACTGCCAAAACCGCCATGAGGTTTACTAGATGGGCAGTCAGCCACAAACAGGACAGAAAGCAAAGCTGACATCTGGGGGAAAAGCTCCATGCCAACGTGTGTCTTCTTCAGTCGGCCTTACTCCTGGGCTGCAGTCTTGACACAATCACTTAGACGTTTTCTCTAAGAGCACGCAAATAATACCCTTCTTATTTCCAGGGCAAAATACTGAAGATACACGTTACAACCAACAGCAAAGCACTGAAGTACAAAATAGCGGACAACCAGGATGTCAAAACAAGTGCAGAAAAAAGAGTTCAGATTTAGAAGGATTCTACTACCCAAAAAGCTAACCTGAGCAATAATTCAGTCTAAGCAAAGAGAGGCTGATTCTATTATGAATCTGACCAGACAAAACTATATTCCTTTAAAACCAGCAGTTTTACTGTTCCTCCTCTCAGTGTCTCTTCAGTCTTTAAGCATTTTTTCTATACAATTAACTTGTGTATGACCACATTATCCACAATACCCTAAACCCTTACACTCTCCAGATAACGACAAAAGATCAGCCCAGAACGTTTTTTATTGTTAAAAGCACATGGATAAAATGTGAATTTACAGAGCTTTCCTGAAGAGATGCTAATAAACAAGCCACCAACTGTATTATTTTCTTAATAGTTTTCTTCACACCTCATTAAGTATCTTCTATGATTTCACTGGGATTTTTAAAAATTCATACAAAAATGTATAGCTTAAGAACAGGAGTCAGCAAACTGTGGCCCACAGGCCAAATTCAATCCAGCACATCATTTTGTAAATAACATTTCATTAAAACACAGCCAAATTCATTGTTTTACACACTGTGGCTGCTTTCCTGCTACAACCCCAGAGCTGGGTAGTTAGTTCCAACAGAGCCTGCATGAAGCCTAAAACATCAACCATCTGGCCCTTCAGAGGCAAGGTTAGCCCCTGGCTTATACTTACAGGTTAGCCAGAAATGCTAGTATTAAAGTGTATCAGTTTAACAAAATCCACACTTCTGGGGAAGAAAAAAGAATAACTACACTCGAGGATGCTGCTTACACGTGGCATTTATGAAACGCTTACCATCTACAGACCGGGTCTGTTTCCTTACGAGGCACTGTAAGCTTTTTCACACTCGTGAGGTAACTGAGGCCTTGTGACTTTGAGTGTACTTGCCCAAGGTCAGACAGCTACCCACAGATCAGAGATCTGAGCCCAGGTGGTCTGAGGTTGTACTCAAATACTGTACTCTATTGGCCCCTTAAATATATTCTTCAGTTCTAATTTTTCATTCTAGTACAGCTGCTTCTTCACATTAAACAGAAATCTGGTTAACAAATACTGTTATTAAGGTTCCAATTATGGCTGAATTTGTTAAAGTGACTCTTAAACTTGCTTTTAAGCTGTTCTAATTATGTGCAGAGCAAATACAAAGTCTTAAATGAAGTTGTTGGTTTTTTTTAAAGCACCCCCTGGCACCACATCTTTTTTAAGAAAAAAAAAAAACAAAACAAAACAAAAATTCACTTGGGAAGGTAATGCTGGCTTTGTTAGTTTATGTATTAGAGGGTCACCATAAGGAAAGGCAAGAATATTCTGATTTTTCATGGAGGTGGAGGGCCTGTTTTGACAGAAATCAGTCACTGAACCCAAAGAAGAAAAGATTCTTTGCCAGCCCAATGATGGCAAATATTAATCATTTGTCTACTACAGTTCCATGCAGGTATTACAGAATTAGATAAACCAAACTAGCCTGGCTTGTGAGTGGCTGTCTGTAAAGTCACCCAGGTAAGGAAATGTCATCGGCCAACAGCAGTCAATGACAAAATTCTTTAGTCAAGGTGTCAAACCTCCTTGGGCTACATGCACAAGATCTGTCCCAACACAAATATAAACATAAGATTATCAAGCAGAGAAAATGTGATGCCAGATTTTAAGAAGTGTCAATCTTTTTTTGTTGTTTTATCTCCCCCATCTACTCTTTAGCATATCTTCACAGCACCATGTAAGATAGTTTCATTCAATACACAGTTCAATTAAAACTATGGAAAAATATTTAAATCAGAACACAAGAAATTTATCACAGAACCCCACATCTTTATACCTTAACCGATAAAGGCCTCTTATGCAGAAAGACAATAAAATATTAGAATGCTGATAGAATTAAATTTTACTTGACAGGAACCTTAAGGGTTTACCAGATCCCTAACTATAAGAGGCATCAGGAAGACATTTTTATGAGTGTAATGAAAACCTTTGAGCAAGGCCAAAAGAATAACTGTTAGTAATGTAATTATGCCTTAGATGGGCCCTGGTATCAGGTGATATGCAAGCATCTAATTTTTAGGGATTCCAAACAGAAGTAGTTAGGGAGATTAAAAAAACTTAACAAAACTGGGGTTGCTTTCTTTTTACAAACTGACCCTATTCATTTCTTGTGAAATTAAGATTCTCAATGCAAAATCAGGTGCCAGAACATGGGCTATTCTTCCTTGCCATTTGACTGTTTTGCAGGTGTAAGGAAGAATACTTACTTCTCACTTTAGTGTCTCTAGTATCTGAAAGACTTTATCAGCACTATGAAAAGTTACACAGTTCTGATAAAGCCAAAACTACACCCCCCATCTCATGGGAAAATGTGGGCAACACTTAACTTTCAACGCCAAGAGCTAGCATCTCTTCTATGAAGAGCCAGAGAAGTTGGGCTCCATATATAAGTATATTTCAAGGTGACCGAGCAGGCACACCATTATCAACAAATTTTCCTGAGTGTCAACAATACTGGCAAAGTCAGGGTGATATGAGCAGATCTGCCGAAGACAGAGCAATGCTTTAATCACTACATGGATAAAAAGCAATAAGGCAATAAGTTTATTTCAATGATTTCACTGGAATAGGTCAGGAAGATGGGATCTCCAAAAATAAATAATGCTGGGGGGGGAAACCCATAAAAACACTGAAGAGATTCAATCTCTTTAAATTAATAAAAACATTATTTTAAAATAAATGTTTCCAATAGAGTCTTATACCAACTGTCTAAGAGCTGTCTGTGAACAGATGTTTGCCAAAGATGCTCTAAGTTATTAACACCATCGATTTATACTCCACACTGACTTAGAGGGTTGTATTTCTCTTTAAATTCCAGTTGTACATATGGAGAAACTAAAGCACATCACACTGAAGAACTTAACGTAAAGTTCGTAAGGAATCTGCTGCTTCCCGCAGCACTACTTCAGTGAGCTGGCAGAGAATCAGTCCTGCAGCACCTAGAAGGCACCGAAGTGAAATGAAGTCGTGCTGTGGTCCCCGGGTTATCTTTCCCTTGAACGTGGAAAATACTGAGATCACACCGTGATTTCCGGCAGTCTTATGAACCTAATCCCCTGAAGCCTTTATCCTCTTAAGTAAATACACCAGGGATCAACACCTTACACACCACCCCCTCATTCTGCCGCCAGTGGTAGCCATATGAAATTAACTCTTGTGACTGTCAGGGAAGCGGAAGGACACAGCCTTTAGAAATGTGCCCTTCTTTTTGAAAACCTGGATTTCAGAGTCCCACAACCCTGGGCAACCTTAACCATTATGTGCCTCAGTTTTCCCTCATTTCTAAAATGGGGAGAACAGCACTCACACCTCAGCACACTGTTTTGCACATTAAATGAGAATATATGTAAAGTGCTTAATACCGTGTCTGCAACAGTGTACACTCTCTACAAACGTTAGCTACGAGAATTACTGTAGTGAGTCGGCTTTCACACAGTCCACAGCTCCATTTCTGTCATCCACGTGGGAACTGCCCCACTTCCATATGCAGACTTGAAATAAACATTTAAAACACTGGGAAGCATCGCCTGTGTGTCATCAAGAGCTTCAATAATTTGTATGTGCAATGGACTGTACTTTCCCTCATATTTAACCCTTGGGAAAAACTATTTTTAATAAAAAGGGGGGGGTACATGAAAAAGGTCCCCTCCCACCAGAAGAGACAGTTCAAGTTCGCCATGCCACTTATTATACAAAACCAGGCAGGACAGTGGTAAAAATGTTAAGCTGGACCGAAAGCTGAGAGCAGCATAAAACATGAACAGTGGAGGGCAAACTAGGACATAGGCTCCACCACAGGCATGAAAGAAAACCAGCACACGTGTGAATGTTACGTGAAAGAGCGTTGTTATTAAAGAACACACCTAACACCTAAGCCCATGTGTATCATTCTGACAGAAGAGACTCATCATACCCATGTTCATAATGATGAACTGCAACATTTTCCTATCTGTTCTTAATGTTAGATAGAAATGCTCACGACAAGCTACATTTTAAAACCTGTTGGCCACAATTAGCCTCTGAAGTATTAGTCTTCTTTTCCTCTTGGTGATCAGTACATACTTAAAGCTGAAAAGGGTGGGGGGCAGCCTAATCTTTGTTGTGCTAAGATATCAAGAAGCATAAAAATAAGCCCATAAAAACATACACAGCATTCTTAAAGTTCCTTTCAAGAGGAATACGTATTACTTTTTAGGGGCTACAACATTCTCCATTAAAATTTACACATGTATGAAGAAGTAATTTAAGCCATATCCTTACTTTGTTATTATGAACTTAAATTTTCAATCACTGGGCAACTACTGTTATGTCCTCATTGCTATAGAAGAACCTTCACAGAAAGTGACTATTTCCTAAAAGCTCTTTGAATGTAATGAATACAAACTTGGATTTGGAAAAGAATTAAAAAACAAAAACAAATAAATCCAACTCATCAAAAACCCAAACCTATAAAGTGAAACAAAGGAGAACAAGTTTATCTGATGATAACATTGAGTGTATCTCTGTCCCCTCGCTTGCCTTATACCTGGTATGCCTACAAGGTAATTTATCTCTCAACAAATCAGTAAGGTTCATAAATGCATTTTAGAGCTAAGACGTGCCGCCAATCTACCTGCAGCTCCTTGGGGAGTTTCGTCTGTCCGAGCAGCAGAAGAATTCACTGTCTCCTGGCTGCTTTCAGGGTCCGCCATTTTCTCCTGTCGACGAGCTTCAGCTGCTCCTCTCTTGCCCAGGCCAGAGCCTCGCCGGCTACAACAGAAAGATGCCATCACAGGCAGCCCTACCAGTGACCAGGAGCAATGTCCACGCAGCACAAAGCTCTAATGCATGGAGCACAAAGCCAGTTTCTTCTTTTTTTCCATAGAAATTGTTGCAGAAAATCATTATGGGTAACAACCAAGACTTTGTATATTTAAAATTCTTCCAAGTTACACTGCAGTCACAATACATGCTTTTGTGGTGCTATGAGCTGTTGTCATCCTTACAGACAGAAATGATTTTTAAACACTTCAACTAAATGGAAAAGTGGCCCCTGCTTAGAGAATTCAGCTCATTTAAATTAGATTCCTACTTCCAGGGTAAATAGTCAATATATAGACTTTACACTAACAAAGGGCAGGGGGGAGAGAAGAAGAGGAGAAGATGTGGGAAATTCCTATCACCTAAGTTCCAGATAACTTAAACCACCAAAAAAAGAACTACCCTAATAATGAACAAGAGATCCATCCTTTAAAATAAAGAATTAAAGATTTAACATTTATAAATACATACAGATGATACTGAGGAAGACACTGGTTTAGGATTGAGGCACAGCGTAATATGGAAAGAATAATGATCAGTCATTTCTCACAAAGCAAATTACATTTTATTGATGATGATTTTTTCTATTTTAATGGAGAAATCAGTAAGCAAATCAGGTAAAAAAAAAAAAGATTTCCCCAAATTATTATAACTTGGTATTGTTTAAATAGCAGCCCTCTGAATTAGGAAATGAAGAAACATACTACTAAGGATATGTTTTAGAACAAAGTCAAACTGCGGTGGAATTAGATGCTGGCCAGTAAACAACCAGGAAGCAGCAGGCATTAAGTGACATGTAAATGAAGGCTCTGAATTACCAGAAAGTACTAGAAGAGTTTGTTCTTCCAAGTAGTAAAAAATCCTCCATAAACAGGGATTTGCTTAGCCAATCTTTTCTTGCAGAGAAACAGCTCACTCCAGACCCAATTTACCAAGCTACAAAGTAGTGGGATTCAAATTAATTCATCTATTTAACATTCAATTTACACGAGCCATGTGACACACACTGTGCTCAACACTTGGCTTGATGTCCTCAAGGAGTATCAGGCTGAACAGAGATGAAGACACGGCTACAGCAGGCTGTAAAAGCAGTAAATCTAAAGAGGAACTGCCACTAATTCAGAAAAAGTTTGAGATGAAGAGCTTTCCAGGCAGGTGGCTAGACAGCTTGTGTAGAGAATAACCATGTAAACTCTAAGTAATTTCACATGCGCTACGAAAGTGGTCATGAGTAGAAGGAAGGCAGGCAACAGAGCTGGGACACTAGACTACCTGACATCACACCAACTTAAAATTAATTTTCAACCACAGTGAATTTGGTTTATATCTCAGATTATAAACTCTGGGTAAAGAGATTCAAAATCTAGCCCAAAATTTTTAGACAAAAGCTTTGAAGAACTAAGAAAATTCTCAGGGTTCTCGTAAAACTATTGCCAAGAAACCAAAAAAGCAAACAGGTACACTAACTCCAGATATTTTAATAGCATTTTAAACAATACAGACAGAACCAGAAAATAAGTGGAAAAGTAGATTTAAGTGGCTCGAGTCCTTTTCTTATGACATGCAACTAGTCATATTCTTTATGTCACTACTGTACCCACCACCAAGAGTAGTCATTGTCACTTATCTTAGAGGACAAACAACAGAAGGGCTAAAACCTTTCAGCTCACCTGAGTGAGAGTAGGGAAAAGGCAAACTGAAATCATTTGCCCCCATCACTGTTTTTGGCACATTTAGAAGAAAGAACAAACTACATATAAAAAAGTCCTACACAGCTGTGAATAATTAGCTGCACAAGGGCATTTGAGCAACTGACCACACATGAAAAGGTGAGGAAATTGTTAAGAAAAAAAAAAAATTGTTTAACTTTAACCTAAGTTCTCAAATCAGTTAATATAAGAATGTGAAATAACACACTGTATCATATCAAAGGTAGCTGATTTTCTGAAAAGGAGATCCAAAACAGCAACTGGGGAAAACAGGAACTGGAGACATGAAAGCAGACACAAGACACCCACATTCCTCTGTGAGGGGTAGGTGTTGTAATACAAAATGAAAATGAAGTACATCTCTCTCCCCCTTATCCATTAAACTCAAGTGGTGCCAACACATTGAGAAACTAATTAGGCAATATTACAGCCACTAAAATAGGCATCCCTTTTGATCCATTAATCACACTACTAGGAAATTTAGCTACTTTTTAAAAAAATAACCCAAATCTGCATAAAGATGCTCATTAGAGATTTATTGGCCAACTGGAACTCTGAAAACAACAAAATGTCCAACTGCTGGCAATAAGTCTGTGAAAATAATGTAGCAACAGAGGAAAAGATAGAGGGTGAGAGTGCTGTCAAAAATAGCATGATTAATACTTAGCAAAAACATGTAAATCAACACTGGGGAAGAATTCCTTTGTATTGGGTAAGTTTCTTTACTACTCAGTATTCAAGTGAAAACTTCAATCATTTTTGAAAACCGGGAGAGGGAAGGATCCTAACAGAAGTGGAGAAGACAACGAACCGGATCATAAACTGGAAAACGCCCGTGTGTTACCTGGCGCTAGCACAGGAGCCCGTGGTCTTTTGGCGAGTGCTCCGCCTCAAACTGGGGAGCTCAGCAGGTGGGGATTCACTGCGCTTCTTGGTAGATTTTCTTAAACCTATACATGTGAAATGCAAAAGGGAATTTTTTAAAAAAAGAAGTTATCAGAAATTAAAAACTACACAGTTCTTCAGGTCAAAAGCCCAATGCATCTTCCATGGGCTCTCCAGCACTCTGCGAGGCTCCCGTCACAGTTTGCCTTTACTTACCCAGTCCATCCTGGCAAGGTTAATATGGTACCTGGCATTCCCCGTCAGGACAAGTCCCACTTGGCCCCAACCTTGACTTGAGCTATCCCACACCATGAATGACGGTCTTTCTCCTCTCATACCATCCCCGTTAACCATTCCTATCATCTCTACTCCTCCACTGACTAAGGCCAAGAGAGATTTTTTTTTTTTTTGCATTTACTATATATTTCAGGATTTTACTAAATTTAAAAATTTTTCTATTTTTCATTTTCATTCATTAGCACATTACACTGTCTTTAAGCTGTCCCTTTCATCTAGTTTATATAAAGTTCATCAATTAAGACTATGAGAGAACAAAATGCTTTCTTTTCTTTACACAACCCCATCAGCAAGGAAAATATACTTGAGGTGAAGGTTATTAGAATGTCCAATGTACAGATAACTGGATAATTAAGGAGGAAAGTCAAACGAGCACACTTTACATGTTATTCTGGAAGCTAACTGAAAACCTTCATAGGCTTAACAGATTCTAAAAAGGTACAGCAATTAAATGAAATCTATTACTATTTCATAAACAATGGGGAGGCCAACGAGCACTGGTTCTCCCTCCCTCTCCCCCAGACAACGTTACTGTCCTGGGCATCATACTGGGTGGTGCTCTATCTAACAAAGACCTCCAACCGTGAAAGGTCTCCAAGTGAAAAAGCTTATTTCCAGAACTACAACGTCACCTTAAAGAGCGTTTCCTTTTTCAGAGACTAATTAGACAGGTCACTTATTTCCCCGCCCCCGCCAGAACCTTTTTTTTTTTTTTTTTTTTGAGACAGAGAAAGCACAAATGGGAGGGCAGGGTGCAGCAGCAGGAGGGGGAGAAACAGACAACCGATGAGCAGGGAGCCCAACTCGTGGCTGGATCCCAGCACCCTGAAATCATGACCTGAGCCAAAGGCAGACGCTTAACCAACTAAGCCACCCAGGCGCCGGATCCCCAGGAACTTTTAATTTTTGACCATTTTGCTGCTTCAAAGTGGAGTAACAGAAACTCCTTCCTCTTGATTTTCTTAAAAACACCAGTAAAGGATATGGGTAATAGGTGATAGAAAAGATTCTAGACATCTTTCCGACCCTTAGACACTTACAGTTCATTCAACCTGGGATAGTCCCTATACTAAATACACACACACAGTGAAAATTGCTAACTAAGTGAAAAGCACACTATTAAGGAATCTTTAAATACCAAACAGAAGCTATAAAGACAAAAATCTACATTCAGACAGGTATTACCATTTAGAAATCTGAACCACACCTTTTGGCCCATTTTTTTTTCCAAAGTAAATTTTGTGAAAGGTTATCTAGACTCCTCAAACTGGCATAAAAGGACTAAAAATGAAACTTTAAGTAGGGAAAGAAGATTGGCCTAAGGGTTTCTTAAATTTCAATTTTGTTTTTGGATTGGTTTACTACATAGCATATTACCAGAATTACTTAATGCGATCACAAATCAATTTCTGATACCCCACATTATTTTATCTTTGTTTGGACACGCATCCTGTCACCTGAAAGATGAACATGGCATGTGGACAGATATGGGACTAACTTAATATATTCAACTAATTAGCATCACTATTTTTTAATATTTAAAAAATTCAGAAATTGTTTTTTTTTAAGATTTTATTTGACAGAGAGAGACACAGCGAGAGAGGGAACACAAGCAGGGAGAGTGGGAGTGGGAGAAGCAGGCTTCCTGCCAAGCAGGGAGCCCGATGCGGGGCTCGATCCCAGGACCCTGGGATCATGACCTGAGCCGAAGGCAGATGCTTAATGACTGAGCCACCCAGGTGCCCCCAGAAATTATTTTTAAATAACGTTCCAGGGCGCCTGGGTGGCTCAGTTGGTAAAGCGACTGCCTTCGGCTCAGGTCATGATCCTGGAGTCCCGGGATCGAGTCCCGCATCGGGCTCCCTGCTCGGCGGGGAGTCTGCTTCTCCCTCTCATGCTCACTCTCATTCTCTCGGTCTCAAATAAATAAATAAAAAATCTTAAAAAAAAAAAAAAAGTTCCAGAAAACATCAAATTATACTTACCTTTCTATTTGAATTGTGCAACTAAGTTAGAATAGACTTAAAAACGCACAAATCATAGAAAAAAAACATGAGTGCATGTTATAGTAAAACACTCCACAATGTTTTCACCTCTAACATACTTTAAAAACCCCTGTATTGTTGTCACTAATATTAGTTTATGTGACACTTAACTAAATATCATCACACATACCATGACACAGTAATGGACGCTAGCAATGACACTGTTCAGTGCTGCTATACTGCTTATGAGATGACAGTGTATGTTCTGACCAAAACTTTTATACTTTCACTACTCATGTCCTATTTTAGAGTTAGATATTTAACTTTCTTTTAAACAATTTCATTCAAATGCCATTTCCTTATGATAAAATATACTCAGTTTAAATATGGAGCTGAACAAATGTATTGACGCATATAACCAACACCACAATCGGATCAGGACAGAACACTGCCATTACTCTTAGAAGTCTCTTTGGGCCCCTTACAGTTAATCCCCTCACCCACACTTCAGGCCTCTGGCAACCACTGATCTGTCCTTACTGCCTATTCTAGAATTTCATAAAAATGGAGTCATACAGTGTTTTTGGAGATTTCATGTTGCTGAGATTTACAGTCCATTCCTTTCTACTGTGGAGAGGCATTCCTTGAATGGATATGCCACAATCTCTTTATCCATTGTTGGTGTGAAATTTAAGAGAAATGTACTAAATTACAGAAAAGTAGAGGGCACCTGGGTGGCACAGTCACATGTGCGCCCAACTCTTGGTTTCAGCTCAGGTGGTGATCTCAGGGTCCTGAGACTGAGCCCCGCACTGGGCTCTGCACTCAATGCGGAGTCTGCTTGAGACTCTCTCCCCCTCTCTCCCTCTGCCCCTCCCCACTGCACTCTCTCTCTGGAATAAATAAATAAATCTTTAAAAAGGAAAGAAAGAAAGAAAAGAAAGGAAGGATGGATGGAAGGACGGACAGAGGAGAACCAAAACAAGAGAGTAGATAGAAAAATATTTTGAACTGCTGTTATAATCATGCTGCAACGTAAAATGACTGTCAGACTATTTGACATGACTCCAATTAGCCTGATAAAGTAGGAGAGATAAGCCCAAATATTCTGTTTTCTGAAAGGCAATCCCATGATAAAGGAGCTGCTTACATATAAAGCTCTATAGTGGAAAAGACGTTTCCCCATTTGTAACATTACCTGAGGCCAGGATGGGAGACAAAAATAGCTTTCACATGTGTATCTGCTCCAAAAATTGGAACAGGGAAACACCTCACAGGTGGTAAAGACTGATAATTACTAACTTAACAGTATTTTTAAGTAAATCAAGTCAAACGTTGGAAGAACTCTATAAATTCTTTCAATCTAAAACATTCTTTAGAAGATTACAAATGTTGGGCGCCTGGGTGGCTCAGCTGGTTAAGCAACTGCCTTCGGCTCAGGCCACGATCCTGGAGTCCCTGGATCGAGTCCCGCATCGGGCTCCCTGCTCGGC